TATTAAAATCCATTCCTGGTCTGGGTGACTTGGTAGAGCGAATGGTTGGTGGCAGCATAACTACAGGGTGGGATACTCCAGTAGGTCTGGGGTTGTTACACCCACCCTCAAAGCCCTGGCAAGCTCTCTCTTGCCCCAAAATTCTTTTTTTCATACTGGTCTCTCACTTCATCCTAGTACTGACCCTGCTTGTACCAGTGTAAAAAAAGCCCTATCCATCCCATTGCAAGACTTCTTTCTCTTTTTCTCTTACTCTATCCCCCCCACCCCAATTTTCAGCCCAGTACTCATGGGATAGAAATGTAACTTCTTCTGACAGCATCCAAAATCAGCCAGGTGTAGCCTGCCAAGGTAGAACCTACCCAGATGCATGAGGTAGAAAATGCAATACGGTGCTTCAGTTTTCTAGGTCCCACTATTTCAGTTGGAGGGCTCCACCTCCCCGAATCCCCCAGGCAATCTCTTTGGAGTACAGCTCCCAGAATTCCCAGTCAGCATGTCTAGTTGAGGGTCAGCTTGTCTAGTTACTGTATTTAGATGAGAGAGACAGCAGTACAGTATTTGAGGAAAGCAATTGTATTTGCTTGGTATTGCCATTTTGTTGAGAGGACAACAACAGGCAGAATAATAATTCTCCAGCTTCTGTGGCCAGTCTTATTTATAACCTATCCAGCAATTTAAAATTGGATCCCACTAGTATCCATGCAAAATTTTGTATTTCTAGTGTTATTGTTTCTGAGATTTTTCAAAGTTATTAGGATTACAACTCTCAGAAGGCCACGGGTAATTTCTTTGGACCGCAGCTCCCCAGATCCCCAGGAAGTATAGTCAGGCAAGTTCTGACCTGCCCAGTTATTTAAGCTGGTATTCTGTACTATCCATGCAACATTTTGTGTTTCCTGGTGACTACTTTAATGTGGCAAAATGATTGCTGCTCTGGGAACCTTCCAGTCTGCATGACAACGTGAAAAATAGCCTTTGCCATGTATTTAATGTTTGTAGCCCTTACCTTTTTTGGACATCTTTTGAGGGAGTAAGATAACAAATCTCAGAACTTATTCTTGTTAAGTGCCATCAAGTCACCTGTGACGTATGGCAACCCTATGAATGAGGGACCTCCAAAATGTCCTGTCTTCAACAGCCCTACTCAGCTCTTATAAACTCAAGCTTGTGCTTCCTTGATGGAGGCAGTCTATCTCTTATTTGGTCTTCCTTTTTTCCTGCTGCCTTCAACTTTTCCTAGCATTATTGTCTTTTCCAAAGAGTTTTTCCTAATGTAGGACAGCATCAATTTTGTCATTTTTCCCTCCAGAGATTCCCTGTTTCCCTGAAAATATGACCTAACCTGAAAATAAGCCCTAGTATGATTTTTCAGGATGTTCGTAATATAAGCCCTACTCCAAAAATAAACCCCAGTTAAGTGAAACTCCGCCCTCCATCATTGTGCAGCAACCAGAAGATGACATGACTGTAAAATAAAACATCCCCTAAAAATCAGCCCTACTGTGTTTTTTAGAGCAAATATTAATATAAGATCCTATCTTATTTTCAGAGAAACATGGTAGTTCAGGCTTGATTTGCTCTGGGAGCCACTAGTTTATCTTTCTGGCAGTCCAGGGTATCCACAAAGCTTTTCTCAAGCACCGTATTTCAAATGAATAATTCTTTTTCTTTTCTTCACTGTCCAGCTGTTCACCTGGTCCTCCTAAATGGAACTGTGAAGGGTGACAGACCTGGGAAACTTACCTCCTTTGTTGATAAGCACCAATGGTACTTCAATGATAGACTATGCCATAATCTCACAGGACCTGGTAGAAGCAATAACAGATTTTAAGATTGACAACTGCAGTTATCACTTACCTTTGGTTTTAGAGGTTAACCTGGGAGAACCTGTAATGTCCTCTGAGGAAGACAATCCAATAACTCTTCTGATGGCAGAAATTAGAGTTATCTGAGCAAAATGGTCTGCCAAGCAAGGAGACACCATAAGAAAGTTGCTATACATGGAGCCCTATCTGCAGATGAGTTACCTAATTAGTACAGCTCATTCGTACTACAGAATTATGGGGAACTATTAAATTCTATTTGAGGTTACTTAAAGTGTAAGAATAACAGTAATAGAACACAGACTTCCCTTAATTCAATCTCAAGATCATGGTTTTGTCAGGAAATGTAGAAAAAATAGACATCATCTGTTGAATAAATATAGACTGTTTATGTTACTTTTCTCTTTTGTTTGCCTACTTGTGTCCAGGTTGTCCCTAGCTTTGAAATCATGGCAGCTGATGTTTACAAGAAGAAAGGTGGAGATATGCTCAATGGCTCCTTGGTCCCAGCTGACAGGCCGCATGCCGAGAGGGCAGAGAGTCCTACGCCAGGACTGGCTCAGGGAACGGAACCAGGTAGGGGTGCAGCAAAGAGAGGTGAAAGCGCTTTGTCTGGAAGACATGCCATCATCACCTTCTTATTTCTGGATGACACTGAAACCTCATCCCTGTTCAGGCGTTATGTAATTAGACTAAGTAAACAAGGAAGGAGGAGCTTGATCTAGCTCCTCACCCTCCATTGTAGCTGAAGGTGAGAGTCTTCGCTATGTGCAGAGTAGAGATTTGTGGGTCTCGTTTCGTGGGTCATCAACCTTAATTAATCACAAACCACAGGTTTCCCCTGGAGGCACAACAAACCTCAAATCAATCCATCGATTTGTCACATTTTTTTTTAGAAAGCCCCATGGACTATCTAAAAAAAAAAGGCTGAGCCCCCTGCCCCCACCCCCTTCCCACTGCCACTTGTTCCTGGGTTATCAACCTTGATTAATCACAAACCACAAGTTTCCCCCGGGGGCGCAACAAACCGCAAATCAATCCATCGATTTGTCAGATCTTTTTTTTTTAGCTAGCCCCACGGACTATCTTAAAAAAAAGGCTGATCTTGCCCAGCTGCTTCCTCCTGCTCTGCGCCACTTTCATTGAAATAGAAGCTAGACTGTTGGAACCATGGTTTCATTTCTGGCAGCCTAGCTTTTACTAGGAGCAGTGGGCATGCCTGACTGAAGTGATCACTCCCCCGCTCGCTGTCTTTCCACAGACAGCGGGGTGGAGGATGGCTTTGGTCAGGCTCCTTCCATCCTTCTATGCTCAGCCAGCCATAGAACGTTCGGGGAAGCCTGAGCAAAGCGATCCCCTCGGTCTTTGTAAATAGGGGGGGTGGCATTCCCTTTGAGCAGGCTTTAGCAAGCCACCCAAAGGGAAAACCTCTCTCTGCCTATACCCCCAAGGAACAGCTGATCCACAGGGGCATAAGCACACAGGGGTAGACAAAGGGATGAATATAAAAGGTTTATATTAATTGCTTTGTATTCATTGGGGGCTCTGGACCTCAAGAATTCAAAGCAATGAATATCTGATGAATCAGATATTTGTCTGATTCTAACTAATCAGATATTCATCTGATGGAAATATCTGATGTTTTTATATTTGTCCCTGTGGAGAGCCTTTTTGCACAGTTTAGGGATGGTGATTTTTCAGGGTTTCTAATCACATGGAGAACCTCCATGTTTAAGGGACCTCCTCCTTTCATTTTCTATATGAAGAAAACAATGAAATTTTGCTCAGTGGAGGGAGCAGAGTCAGCATGCTCCATTTGATCCCTTTGTTTTAATTAAAACAACTGACAAAATACCATAATAGATATCTTCTACTTTTATTTCTGTGACCTTCTGGCTGAATATCAGTTGGTGTCAGGAAAAATCTCTCCCAACGAGTGATGCTTTATATCAGGGATGGGCAAGCTGTGGCCTAGCACATATTTACTTTATTTATTTTATTTATTTAACTTATATGCCACCCATATTCTTAAGACTGTAACTCCCATCAGCCCTTGCCAAGATACAGTAATTAATGAGGAGGAATAAGGGGATTTGTAGTTTCACAACTTTTGGAGGGGTACCGATTGCTCATCCCTTGCTTACAGAAAGCAGCAATTATTCCTGCTCAAAAATCCATGGAAATCATTATGCTTGTGGAGTGTTTCCTGCAGATACATGGGACTCTCCATATCCTATCTATTTATACATTGAAGATGTGATCAGATGGGGACGTAGCTCATGTTTTAGACCACTTTGGTGTGAACTGTTTTCTGGCAATCAGATGACTTCCTGGAGATCACAAACTAGCCACACCCTGCTCCATGCTCAATCCAGGCTTTTTTGGTCCAGTGGTACAGCTAATCTTTCTGGACTTGACTGATTCTTGTGGACACGGAAGGGTCACTTTAAGGGAGTTTGCTCCCAGTGACGCAACTCTTTCCAGTGCTATCAGATGTGATCCTTTATTGCTTTCTAATCACCCACTGAGATGAATCCAATTTGTATTTACAGGAAGAAGTATGCATTCAAACCTGTTCATTTTTTTAGTCAAGTGCATATTAAATGACAATTTTACTGTGATTCTGATAGCAAGATTCCCCCCCCCCATAGACATGCAGCCCAGCCTGATTTATCTTTATTCCAGAGTCTATTTGCCTTCCTTAACAATGGGACTTCTTTCCAAGGATGTGTTCTGAGAAATAAAATCTCAAACTGCTTGCAACTGAGTTCTTTTTCAGGTAGTTGACTAAGAATTTAAATGCTCAGTTCCTTTTTCACTTTGTTGTTGTTTAGTCATTAAGTCATGTCCAACTCTTCGTGATCCCATGGACCAGAGCACGCCAGGCCCTCCTGTCTTCCCCTGCCTCCCAGAGTTGGATCAAATTCATGTTGGTAACTTTGATGACACTGTCCAACCATCTCATCCTCTGTCATCCCCTTCTCCTCTTGCCTTCACACTTTCCCAACATCAGGGTCATTTCCAGGGAGTCTTCTCTTCCCATGAGATGACCAAAGTATTTGAGCCTCAGCTTCAGGATCTGTCCTTCCAGTGAGCACTCAGGGTTGATTTCCTTCAAAATGGATAGGTTTGTTCTCCTTGCAGTCTAGGGGACTCTCAAGAGCCTCCTCAAGCACCACAATTCAAAAGCATCAATTCTTCGGTGGTCAGCCTTCTTTATAGTCCAGCTCTCACTTCTGTACATCACTACTTGGAAAAACCATAGCTTTGACTACACAAACCTTTGTCGGCAAGGTGATGTCTCTGTTTTTTAAGATGCTGTTAAGGTTTGTCATCACTTTGCTCCCAAGAAGCAGACGTCTTTTAATTTTGTGACTGCTGTCACCATCTGCAGTGATCATGGAGCCCAAGAAAGTAAAATCTGTCACTGCCTCCATATCTTCCCCTTCTATTTCCCAGGAGGTGATGGGACCAGTGGCCATGATCTTCGTTTTTTTTATGATGAGCTTCAGACCATTTTTTGTGCTCTCCTCTTTCACCCTCATTAAGAGGTTCTTTAATTCCTCCTTTTTCACTAGACTGCCATAAATTGCTCAAGGATAGCAGTTTCTTTGTGTTCTGAATTTATGTAAATAATGTATATGCTCTGCTTAGTAGGAAAAATTCAGTGAATTGCTGATACTTTGATGAGAAACAGAAGGTTTTGTGTATATAGCTGTGCAGTTACCACATCAAAATGGTGAAATAAAAGGCACCCAGGGTCTCTTTGCTGTACAGCTAAGCATAAAACGGATGCACTTTCAATGGGGAAATGTTTTTTTATATACTTCAGGTAGAATTTAGGATATGCCTTTACAGTTGTGTGGCTCTTATATGATAATAAATCACATCTTCTATTGTGACCTTGTCTCTCTTACTAATACCGAGGCTCTGGCACAAGCATAAGGAAAACCTTGGCTTATGTCTGCCAGCATATCTCCTTCTGTGCATTTAAGAGTTTTCCTGCTTACCCCATTCCAAAGCTTTTGTGGTTGTGGCTTTTGCTATTATCCCTAAGTGGCTGGACGGTGTGTAACTGTTCAACTCTCCTGGTACTTTTTACAAGGGGCCGGCCAAGAGGGAGCCATGTTTGTTCATGCGAAGTCCTATGAGGATCTAATTGGTGCAGATCACCAAGATGCAACCCCTCAGAGCCCAGATGAGGAGGAAGAATCCCAGGCTGACCAGACAAAGATGGAGGAAATCAGCAAGGACTTCAGTGAGCTGAGCACCCAGCTTACTGGCATCCCAGTGGACGTGGAAGAAGAGATAAGACAAAGTGGAGAGGACAAGGAGGATTTCTTGCCACAGGTCTCGCGCCGAGATTCAGTTCTGTCAGGGAAGGAGGAAGAAGATATAACTATGGAGGCCTGGCGTATGCATCAGAAGCATGTTTTTGTACTAAGTGAGGCAGGCAAGCCGGTGTACTCTCGGTATGGGTCTGAAGAGGCCCTGTCCAGTACCATGGGAGTGATGATGGCTCTAGTGTCCTTCCTAGAAGCTGAGAAGAATGCCATCAGATCTATTCATGCAGGTACTTGCTGTCGTACTGGTGTATTTCTTCCCAAGGCAGTGTTATTATTAGAAAGTATTGTAAAAGAGCACAAGAAAAAGAGAAGAAAGGGGGTATGAATTAAGTAACCTCTGAGTGACCTTTTGCCAGGAAGGCATGAGTGCCAACCTTGGCAGAACAGGCAGGTATCAGATGTGATCTTTGAGAACAGCCCACTGCAAGTACCAACTTGCATACAAAATAATCAGAACTACTTGTGTAATTTCACTGAGTTGGACAATATGCTATTTTCCTCCTCAGTTTAGAGATCATTTAGAAATTCAGCTAGGTAGAGAATGATTAATGGAATAGTACCTCTGTGTGAGCACTTCTCAAAAGAACATATCCACAATCAGTATTTAATAATAAGAACTGAAATCTGTATTCAATAGGGAAGCTCTTACAAGATTACAAGCAACAGATGGTGATGTGGGAATATCAGGTCAGTGAGTCTGATGCTTGAATATCTCCCTAGGTGCCACAGAGAATTTTATAGACCCCCTACAGAAAAAACAGAAGCTTGTGTTCATCACAGATGACGTTTATCTCAGTTAAGGGTTAATTCCAGAATAAAATCAGACCATCATTTCCAGTCATATCAAGGTATAAGTATTTTCGTCGTTGCAGTGATTCCAGGCAATATCAGTTTGTCTACTTCTACATACTTTATTGATCTACATTGATTTTATGTTCCATATGCATAAAATGAACTCCCAAGTATTGAAAACATCCCAAAGTCTTACACTTATGGAAAACTGTAGGCACAAATACTTAAGCAGAAATCCCTCCTTGAAAAGTTGTGATTTTCATCTGCAATTCTTACACCTATGAGAAGTTGCATTCAAAAACAAAACTTCAGATGTAGGTAGAAATTAAGTCATGTTATAATTATGTTTCAAAATTGCAGGAGCTTATTTTCTAAAATGCAAATGCTTATAGCCTAAAGGGGCATATTAAAAAAAAAACAGAATACATCTCTAAAATACATCATTTAAAAGTTAAAAAAAACACATAGTTTTAAGTAATCTTTAGTCTTTGAGCTTATTACTGGACACACATGAAAAATTGTCAAATAATGTTTTCACTGAACCAAGCTAGCCTTATGCCAGTTTGCATCTATGGAGGGAAATCCATAATGATTGTGTTGCCAGCTTTTGGAAATGAAGCCTGCTGCTGTGCTGCAACATGGCTGCTACTTTTTGATGTACGGTGCCCAGTATTGGTAGTATCTGGTACATATAGTGGTGTGTGTGGTATAGTGTGGAGTTTCTGGCTGTTATTTATACCCTTCCCTTCATCAGCAACGAACAATCCTTTCTGCTGGACCTGGAGGGCCAGGGGCCTGCTGTTCCAACAGACGTTTTATAATAGGAATTTCTGCTATCCCTGCACCTCCTGTAACTATAAAGTCTAGTAACTTGGAATCTGGCACACTACCATTATAATGATAGACATAGTTGTTGTTACTTAGATTTGTATAGCCTGGAGGAATAAAGGCTTGTAAAATAAAGAGTCTGGTGCACCAAGATCCTGTAAAACCAGAGTCCTGTGGCTACAGATGGTGCAACACACATTCTATTTATTTCAATACACTTTTAATTCAGTCCCTTTCTTTATGTCCACCCTGAACTGTCAGCCATGAATGAAATTCTTTTGCAAGGCAGTTTTTATGTGCCATGTGACCTTGTTCCCGGGCTTTGCTGAAGAGCTGGCTGATCGTTCTGCAGTTACTCTTAATAAAGTGCTGTTCCAGCCTAATTTTTAAGAACACTTTCATTTTCACAATTACGTTTTCTACACACACACACCCCTTAAGTATTTTAACACTCTGTATACCTACAGTTTCACATCTTGACAGGGGTTGAGGAGAAACTACAGGTGGGTGATGTCAAAGGTATGTGTCTTGAGAGCCTCGATCATCATCAATATTCCAGGGCCTAGATATCACCTTCCCCCCATTTATAGATTTTTGAATAAAAAGTTTTTTAAACCACCCAGAAGTGAGCAGTTTTTTAGTCATGTGTGCCTCCCCCCGACCTTCAATCTGAAGTAATACAGCCTTGATACAGATTGACGAACTAAATGTCAACTGTGCCTTTGAGGATCAGAAAATAAGCAATGTTTTTCATCCCTCCTTGAAATTTCCAGTATGAGCACCTGTTCAATAAAAGTTAATCAGTTAATCATGAATCTTTGTTGTAACAATATGTATGTATGTATGTATGTATGTATGTATGTATGTATGTATGTATGTATGTATGTATGTATGTATGTGTGTGTTTGTTTGTTTGTTTGTTTGTTTATTTATTTATTTATTTATTTATTTATTCTATTTATATCCTGTCTATCTGGTCATTGCGTAGACAGTAGAATTTTAGCCTCCTTTCACACGATTGCAAACAAAGTTGTATGGTCAGAACATTCTCTTTCTTGTTACCCTGTATAGGAGAAGAGATATTTGCTTCCACTCCCTTGATAGTACTACAGTGTTCTGGGTAGACAGTAGAATTTTAGCCTCCTTTCACACGATTGCAAACAAAGTTGTATGGTCAGAACATTCTCTTTCTTGTTACCATTATCGATAGTAAGGGTAGGGAACATGTAGCCCTCCAACTATAGAATTTTAGCCTCCTTTCACATGATTGCAAACAAAGTTCTATGGTCAGAACATTCTCTTTCTTGTTACCATTATCGATAGTAAGGGTAGGGAACATGTAGCCCTTCATATGGTTAGGGCTAATGGGAGTTGTAATCCAACAACACTCCCTATCCTTAGTCTATAATTTCACAACAGCTGCTTTGTGATGTAGACCCATCCACTATAATTAGAAGATACTGATATGTTTTCCCTCTCTTTCTCTGTCTTTCCTCAACCCCGGGCTTCTTGGCAGATGGCTACAATTTCTTGTTACCATTATCGATAGTAAGGGTAGGGAACATGTAGCCCTCCAACTGGTTAGGGCTAATGGGAGTTGTGATCCAGCAACACTCCCTATCCTTAGTCTATAATTTCACAACAGCTGCCTTGTGATGTAGACTCATCCACTATAATCAGAAGATACTGATATGTTTTCTCTCTCTTTCTCTGTCTTAACCCCGGGCTTCTTGGCAGATGGCTACAAGGTGGTGTTTGTACGCCGGAGTCCCCTGGTGCTGGTCGCTGTGGCGCAGACCCGGCAGTCTGAGCAAGAAATTGCTCAAGAGCTCCTTTACATCTATTATCAGATAGTCAGCCTTTTGACATGGACCCAGCTCAACCGCATCTTCCAGCAAAAGCAAAACTATGACCTGAGGAGATTGCTGGCCGGCTCTGAACGCATCACTGACAACTTGCTGGAATTGATGGCTAAGGACCCCAGTTTTCTGATGGGCGCTGCTCGTTGCCTGCCTATGGCCTCAGGAGTCAGGGATGCTGTGAGCGCCTGCCTCCAGCACGCCAAAGCCAAAAGCCTGGTGTTTGCCATCCTGCTTTCCAAGAACCAGCTGGTGACTTTGGTGAGGAAAAGGGACCAGTTCCTGCACCCGATTGATTTGCACTTACTCTTTAATCTCATCAGCTCCTCTTCATCTTTTAGAGAAGGAGAAGCGTGGACTCCCATCTGTTTGCCCAAGTTCAACTCCAGTGGTTTCTTCCATGCCCACATTTCCTACTTGGAACAGGACACAGACTTGTGTCTTGTCCTGATCTCCACTGACCGCGAGGACTTCTTTACCGTTTCTGACTGTAAGCGCAGATTCCAGGAACGCCTGAAGAAGCGTGGTGTTTATCATCCTCTCTTGGAGGCACTGCGCACCCCTTTCTACAGTGTCTTCCAAGTGGGAATACCAGACCTACGACACTTCATCTACAAGTCAAAGAGTTCGGGGCTCTTCACTGGGTAAGTGGCTGTGTTCTCGGTGGATGTCTCTGTTGGTTGTTTACAGGCTAGTCATTATAGGTCAGGATAGCACCCATGGTTTGGGACATCAGGCTTCCACTGAGTTCATAGAAGAGATTCTATATGAAATGGTTGTCTAACCTACTGCTGTAAAAATCTGGAATAGAAGGTAAGCTGCAGCTATAAGCCAATGATAATAATCCTTGTTCTTTTTCTTCTATCCTGGCCAGATTTTGAGATCTTGCAGATAGGCCTTCAAGTCATGGACGGTCATCATATCCTGCAAATCATGTAAATCAGGAGTAACAAAAAATTAACAGAGGAAGCTAAATGGTGTGGGTTGTTGCACATCTTCAAGAGCCAGAGCACCCAGAACTTTGGCACTGAGTCAGGCTTTCTTGCTAGCCTCTCCATTTCACTCCTGGGGCTGCTCCTTGCTCTCCTGTTTAAGTAGTCTGGAGTCAGAGTCGCACACTCAAGGGAGATGCTCTAATGAGCTCAGGAGTCTAATTCCCATTTATACTTGTTAAATGACTGGGTGCAAAATGAAGCACTTTGAAATTTTCCTTCGTAGCATCCTGCTTTTTAAACGAAGAGTGAGGGATGATTATCAAGGTTATCCTTTTTTGCCTATCAAGGTTATCCTTCAGGGATGAATCAATCAAATTGGTCATTGCAAGCAAAACAATGTACACTGTATTTCCAGCCGAGGGGCCCTCTGCATGACTTTCATACAGCATATCTGATTTGTTATCCCAATTAAAAATGTAGATTTCATGCTGGTCTCCAATCTGTCATGCAGACTTGCTAAATTAGTGTTCCTTATTAATAAAATTCTAGCTCTAGTAACTAGATGTTCTGATTCAATTATCATTCATCTGACCATATGGAGAGCACTTAGCAGGTTCATCCGTTCTTATCTCTTGCCTGAGGTGATTTTCCCCCCCTGTCTCATGAAAATCAGCTGTTCTGTTTCAATTTTCATTCATAATGAGAGACTTTAAGCAAAGGAACATGTGTTTTTACAGCCCAGAGATTGATGCTCCCTACATCACTGAAGAGGAAAAGGAGAGACTTCTGGGATTGTATCAGTATTTACACAGCCGAGCCCATAATTCCTCTCGTCCTCTGAGTAACATCTATTACACTGGATCAAATGAAAATCTCCTGGCTTGGGTAAGAGCTCTGCACTCCTGCTGCAACCAAACTGCACTCACTGAAGAATATATAGTAAAAGCAAAACCTGAAATAAGAGCTGCTGGAGCAAGGGTGAAAAATCTTTGGCCCTCCAAGTGTTCGCATTTCAATTCCCACTAGCCCTACCCAGCATGGCCAGGATTAAAGAATATGGAAGATAAAGTGTAGCAACAACTGGATTGCCAGATATTCCTCACCCCTGGGCTAGAACTAAAAGTCTAAGTTTATTATCTGGTAGAGATATTAATTTATTATATGGGCTAGTTGTTCTAGGACTACAAGATTAGAAAAAGATGCTAGGGTGCATTGCAATAAATTTTTATTATTAGCATCTTTGCCCCCAGAGGGGGTATTTTAATGCTATTTTATTTTTTTTAAGTGACAAGCTATTAATGAAATTGTCTGTAAGTTTTACAGTAATTTTTCATCAGATTTCTACCTGAAATGCACATCTGCCAAATACAGCCTGTAAAAAAAAATCATATCTCACACTTTGCAACTAATATATCAGCACCTCTTTGTATGTTATGAGAATTTAAAAAGTTTGTTTGCTCTGAATGTGAGCCATATAACATTATGAACATTCCATTGCTTTGACTGCACGGCACAATGACATTTTAACCTTTCCGTTCTCCAGGTGACCAGTGCTTTTGAGCTGTACGTCTGCTTTAGCCCCCTGGCAACCAAAGCAGCAGCTGTCAGTGCTGTCAACAAACTTATGAAGTGGATACGCAAGGAGGAGGACCGGCTCTTTATATTAGCTCCCCAGACATACTGACCACTGTGCCCCATTCTATCTGATCAGCACATATTGAGTTTCTTCTTCTCCATCTAGTGAATGCCCCAAGGAACTTCCTCACACCTCTCTGTCTCTCTCTCTCTCTCTCTGTGTATGGTAGATTTGCCTCATAGATATAAGGGAGAGCTGGGTCGTCAGATAGCAGAACTTTCTACCTGCATTTGAGAAGGAGAGTTGAACTTCAGTTTACACTAGATTTTGATACTAAGTTTTCTGCATCTGGAACAGAACATGGACCTGATGTCCTCATACAAGTCTCTGCTGAGATTTCTTTCATCCTAGATTGTCCCTTTTCCCACTTCTTCCACTTTTGGGGGGTGGGACAGACTGATTTAATCAAACCCAGTCCTTATCTCCATGACCCATTTTCTTTCCTTTTCATTCCAGTAATAGGCAATGTTTTCCACTACATTTGCCTGCAGGGTACACAGGACTGACAGTGCAATATTAGACGGCTCAGTTATCCTGGCCTGGATTGGTCATGCCCATTTTCTTTCCTTTTCATTCCAGGAATAGGCAATGTTTTCCGCTACATTTGCCTGCAAGGTACACAGGACTGACGGTGCAATTAGATGGCTCAGTTATCCTGGCCTGGATTGGTCATGCTAAACAGGTTTCATTTGGACATATGGATCAACAAAACCACACCTCAGAGCCTTATTAATTCAAGATAAAAATTGGCAAAATGCATTTTAACATGGACACAACACTACCAACTACTGGAGGTCTGTTGGTGTCAATAGTTGGAACTATATGTGGCAATGCACAGAGACCCACCTAAAAATGGTCTGAGATCCACAAGTGGACCATGGCCTGAAGTACGATACACCCAGCTATAAACAGTACATGCATCGCTACCCTGGGGTTTAGCTTGTCCTAGGATCAACCCTGATGTAAAAGAGGTGATAAGGTCCATTCCTTCTCTAACATCACTATTGGACTGGACAGTAGGAAGGTATGTGAGCCACACCTACCCTGTTTCCCATCAGTACCATTAAGGACCACAACCAACCCTTTTTTTTTCTTTTCTTTTCTAAAGGCTGTTTCAGATGAGATGTCTTTAAATTGGGCAATCACATTCTCTAGAAGCTTCTGGTGGCATGATTCTTCATTTTCAAGCCAATTTGTTTTCTTATAATGGAAAGTGCCGGGTGTCCTACAGTCCTGGTGGATTGCATTACTCAATCGTAACACAAAAATGTTAGATTGCTCATTATTTCAATCAGAGCAGGAAGTTGCACATTCATGAAGGAGAAGTGAAAACGCTGTTCCAAACAAGGAAGGTTTAATCATTAAGGAGTTGTTAATTTTAGATTGCCTGCCAACCTAGCAGTTCGAAAGCATGTAAAAATGGAAGTAGATAAATAGGTACCACCTCAGGGAGGGGGAGGTCATGGTGTTCCGTGTCTAGTCACGCTGGCCACGTGACCACGGAAACTGTTTACGGACAAATGCTGGCTCTACAGCTTGGAGACCGGGATGAGCACCGCCCTCTAGAGTTGGACACGGCTGGACTAAATGTCAAGGGGAACCTTTACCTTTACCTTAATTTTAGATCGAGTACTAGAAGAAATCAAAATTCAGATTAGATTCACCAAAGAAAATAATGATTTAGGTTATGATCTGATATAAGAGGTAAAGGAAAGAAAATATGCTTTCAAATTTAAAATATTTTTCATATAAGACTACAGTATAATGCAAATTAAAAGCTGGCTGTGGTTTAATTCTTAGTCCTGTATTAACATTATTTATATGGAGCACAAAGAGGGAAAGAAAAAATGTGCTTTAGCTTCATGTTATGAGAGCAGAAATATGCTATTTTATGATCAGACAGATCTCAAAGTGGCATAGTGAATAAAAGCATCCAGGTTTTGGACCCTTTCCCCATGGATAATGAGGCAGAAAAAGTATATTGAGCCCGAAAACCCACAACAACCATTAGATCCCGGCCATAAAAGCCTTTGCAAATACAAAAAAGTGTATATGTTTGAAAATATGCCTTTGATACATATTTTTTTTAAAAAATCATTTACAGTATTTCACAAATAATGGACAACATAAGAAAATTAGAGATCTGTGCCTCCAGCAGATGCTTTAATTGCTTCATTGTAAGTCCTATAATGAAGTGATTTAAAATGCACTGCATGTAGACAGAGATCACTACATTTTAATGCATAATTTCTCTATACTGTTCATTATTACACGATGTAATTTCCTCTAAGTACTGTATATATTATTGGTTTTATTTATATGCCACATTTCTCCCAACAAGGGACCCAAAGCGGCTCGCAACATTGTGTGAACATTAAAATGTGTGAACATTAAGCACAATTTAAAAACACAATAAGTTAATATTAAAATATAAGTTAAACAATATGTCATTTAAAATACAATTAAAATGTTAAAACATGAAAAAAAAAGATTAAAATTATCTGCTAAAATGGGGTTCAGGGATTCAGTTATAATTGTTAAAAACCTGCCTGAAGAGATGGGTCTTTAGCTTTTTTTGAAAGGATAACAGGGAAGGGGCCATCCTGATCTCCCGAGGGACAGCGTTCTATAGCATGGGAGCTGCCCCAGAGAAGGCCCTCTCCCGTGTCCCCATCAGCTGTGCTTGTGCTGGCAATGGGACTGAGAGGAGGGCCTCCTCTGCTGATCTTAATCGCTGAGAAGGCGCATATATATAGGGAGATAGGAGGACATGTGGGGACAATTCTGGAAAGAGACAAAGAGCATATGCGATGGCTTATATAATTAGAAGACAATATTTAAAGCTAAGAACAATGAGTCTAAAAAGGAATCTTATCTCATTAAAATATAATAGTATGGCTAAAAACAATAAGTATATAAATATTTAAAAGGAACAAACAAATATCACTCTTGAGAAATGGTAAACACAAGCAGTACTAAAAACACAGTCAAAGCACTAATGCATAACAATCTGTCTAAAAACCACACTCGGGCAGCCAGTCATTAAGGGAAGACTTTCCTGAAGAGAATTGTTTTTATTTATTTGTTTGTTTGTTTATTTGTTTATTTTATTTCTATCCCGCCTATCTGGTCATATTAGACCACTCTAGGTGGCTTACAATCAAACAAAGATAGAATTTTAAAAACATTACAGCTAAACAAAGATAAAAATCAAAGAAATATAAAAAGGAGAAAATCGTCAGGAGTTATCTGTTGGGAAGGCCTGCCTATACATCAGTGTTTTTAATTGTTTCTTAAAAATGCCCAGTGAGGGAGCCGCGCGAATCTCAGGAGGTAAGTTGTTCCAGAGGCGAGGAGCCATTTGCGATCGCTATAGCGATTTGCAAAACAATGATTCCTATGGGGGAATTTCACTGGACAATGTTTGGTCCCTAGACAACGATTTGCTTTTCGCTAGACAATGATTTCGCTAGACAGCGATTTCAGTGGAACGGATTATCATCGTCTAGCAAGGCACCACTGTATTGGTACTCTGAATATTCTGTAAATACATTGTTCTATTGTATTGGTCCTTCATTTTTTAATTTTTTTAAAATGGAAATTACCCTGCCCATGGGGAATGCAACATTTATAATAAAATGGCAGAATATGGAGATTTTAAATTACTATTAAAAACTAAAAACTAAATGAAATGTTAGCCTGTTGTTTCATGGTCTGATTCCTAACCTGCACCACCAATTGATCAGTGGATTACATCATTAACGATGAGGTCCTATCAAATCAGGCAGGGTCACACCCCAAAAAATGAGGGAGTTTCCCAAATCCCCAGCTGTGGGAGCGCCCACCCTCAGTACCTCCGTCTTGTCCGGGTTCAGCCTCAGCCCGTTCTCCTGCATCCATTCCCGTACGATTTCCAGGCAACGCTGAAGGGACAGAAAGGCATCTCCTGTAGTTGGTGAAAAGGAGATGTAGAGCTGCGTGTCATCCGCATACTGATGGCACAGAGCTCCACACCCCCTGATTACACCCCCCCAGCAGCCTCATATAGATGTTAAACAGCATTGGGGAGATGATCGACCCCTGTGGGACCCCACAATTGAGGCTCCACGGGGCCGAGACATTCTCCCCAAGCTGTACTCTCTGGGGGCGGTCCTCCAAGAAGGAACGGAGCCAGGCGAAGGCCCGGCCACCTATTCCCAACTTGGTGAGCCTCCCCAAGAGGATACTGTGGTCAATGGTATCGAAGGCCGCTGAGATATCGAGGAGGACCAGCAGAGACACTTTGCCCCTGTTGGCCTCCCTCAATAGATCATCATACTAATGCCGTTTCTGTTCCATGGCACGGCCTGAAGGCGGACTGGAATGGATCCAGGGCATCTGTTTCATCCAGGAACGCCTGCTTGCGGAAGGACAGCAAAAATAGGGCCAGTCTTAGTCTCCACAACATGTATCTAATTCATCACGACCACCATTCTTTTGATGCCATCTACCAGTTTTCAGTTACACATTCCCCACCCACCTGATTCCACATTTTCAATTGCCCTGCCCATGGTGAAGTAATGCTTCTCTGCCAGTCCAGCCTCATGCTTCAGAAGGCCTTTAAACTGAATGGCCACAGGATGGCAGCAGACAGCCAGATTTGTGAAAAAGCTTTGATACTGTTCAGTGTGGAGAGAAATAAACATAAGTATAGTAATTTAGAAATCCAAAACGCATATTATATGTGAATTTTATGTGTATGCAGCATGTGACAAAATATGCCTCATCCATTTCAATCTGAAAGTCTTACGCTTTAAATTTAAGCAGTTGTCATATTCATGAATGATTCAGCTGTATTTCTAACTTTGAATTTCAGTATACTTAAAAACACTGTCAAAACCCTGATTACCTAATTCTGGTTAGAGAATTCAGTTTAGCTCTCCTCATATCATGTAAACTTTAAAAACAATATTTTTATTAGTCCAGAATGCACATTTTGAATTTTCTGGGAAACGTCTACATTATGGGAATAAGCTGTTTTGATCACTATCCTATGTCATGTCGGGGAATTTGCAGTTGAGTATGTTGAATGACTTTGACCAAACTCGGGGAGGCAGTGGAAGACAGGAGGGCCTGGCATGCTCTGGTCCATGAAGTCACGAAAAGTCGGACACGACTTAACGACTAAACAACAATGTATTGAATGACATAGCTATTACATTATCTGTTTGCATAACTTGTGGTTGGTGAGTGTTGTACCAAGTGCGTACTATGAGCACTAATTACTTCAGCTCAAGCCAAAGTCATACAGTCTAACAGCAAGAGGCTTTTCCAGTCCCTTCCCCTTTTGTCTAGTGATTCTCAATCCCCACCCCTGGGCCAACACAGGAAACAGCTCAAGAGGTTGGCTAGAACAGTGAATTCCAAGAGCTCTGACAGGAAGAATCTTGAAGGGAGAACACAAATCTGTAAGAAAACACCAGATCTTCGAGAGAAGTGAGTGGACCGCTCCTCATTTCCCCCTGTCCCTACTTTATAGCGGGACTGTGAATTACGTGTGGCCTTCCATAGGTTCCTGATCTGCAACTGCCACCAGCCCTCACCAACACAGGCAACAGGATCATGGGGGCTCTACTTCCGACATGTGGAGAACCCCTTATTCCTCCTCAGTTTTATGGAGGCAACTTGATACATTCCAGATGGTTTGAATTCTTGGGTAGGGCCAATGGTCTGAGATCATGAGAGCTGGAGTCCAAAACAGAATGGCGCGAAGGTTCTTTCCCTTCCGCAGTCAGAAACAGTCCTCCACTTTTTGCAAGGAAATACTGTACATTCTCTCACTTGCTGCTGCCATGTATAATAGGATGCAGGGAGGGGCTGCAGGTGGGGGGGGGAGAGAAAAGCTACATTGTATTATCTGTCTCTGTTATGAATTATGTCTGGTGGATATCAAGATTGATGTCACGGCATGTGGTGTAGTCACCTGGGTTTTTGACCACAATGCTAGTTAAAAACCTAGAGGATATGACCAAGAGACAGGACTGACCATCTCTGCAATCGAAATGTGTACCCTTCAAGAATTATGGAAGAGAGTGAGTGACACAAACACAAATGCACACATGCAGGTGAACAACTCAGAGTGAAACTAAATAAGGCATAGAAGTTTACCGTGATCAGG